AAAAAAAAAAAAAAAAAAAAAAGAAAATGTTTTGGAACTAGATAGAGGTGGTGGTTGCACAACATGGTAAAAGTACTAAAGGCCACTGAATTGTGCACTTCAAAATGCTGCCTAATTTTATATTATGTGAATTTCACCTCAATAATTTTTTTTTTTTTTTTAAGATGTATAGGCCTGGCGTGGTGGCTCACGCCTGTAATCCCAGCACTTTGGGAGGCCAAGGAGGGCAGATCACCTGAGGTCGGGAGTTTGAGTCCAGCCTGACCAACATGGAGAAATCCCGTCTCTAGGAAAAAAAAATAATAAAATAAAATAAATAAAAAAGATGTATATTTCCAGATATGAGGCTATACCATTACAGTTATTTTTTTCCCATGAACTAGAAAAAGTTTATATTAAATTATAAACTTTCGGAGAAGAGGAAAGGGAGACACTTCTAGACCTTTAATGAGTCTACAAGTACAGGAGAAAATAATTTATGCAGCAATTAGCTCAATTTTCAGAGCTCTTTTTCACAAAGTGATTTTTTTTTTTTTTTTTTTTTTTTTTTGAGACGGAGTTTCACTCTTGTTACCCAGGCTGGAGTGCAATGGCACGATCTCGGCTCACCGCAACCTCCGCCTCCTGGGTTCAGGCAATTCCCCTGCCTCAGCCTCCTGAGTAGCTGCGATTACAGGCACGCACCACCATGCCCAGCTAATTTTTTGTATATTTAGTAGAGACGGGGTTTCACCATGTTGACCAGGATGGTCTCGATCTCTTGACCTCGTGATCCACCCGCCTCGGCCTCCCAAAGTGCTGGGATTACAGGCTTGAGCCACCGTGCCCGGCCCAAAGTGATCATTTTACAGGCATTGCTGCATAGGCACAGGTAAGAATCTGGGTCACTCCCTAACCAATTACAAATTATTATATGCCATAGACCTTCAGGATTATAAGTCTTTTCTTTTTTCTTTGAGACAGAGTTTCACTCTTGTTGCCCAGGCTGGAGTGCAATGGCGCAATCTCGGCTCACTGCAACCTCCGCCTCCTGAGTTCAGGCAATTCTCCTGCCTCAGCCTTCTGAGTAGCTGGGATTACAGGCATGCGCCACCATGCCCAGCTCATTTTTTGTAGTTTTAGTAGAGACGGGGTTTCACCGTGTTGACCAGGATGGTCTCGATCTCTTGACCTCGTGATCCACCCGCCTCGGCCTCCCAAAGTGCTGGGATTACAGGCGTGAGCCACCGCGCCCGGCTAATTTTGTATTTTTAGTAGAGATGGGGTTTCTCCATGTTGGTCAGTCTGGTCTGGAACTCGTGACCTCAGGTGATCCGCCTGTCTTGGCCTCCCAACGTGCTGGGATTACAGATGTGAGCCACTGTTCCCAGCCTCTATTTTTCTTTCTATAATCCATGTACATTTCCCTTTAATAATATAAGGGAACTAAACAGCACCATTGATTTTCAGAGGCTTATCTAAAATGTACTTGACACAGCCCTCTGTGGCTGGGTCATTCTGTGAATTCTAAATGTCTTTTGCTGCACGAAGAGGTTATTTGATCTTGTAACTGGTATTTACCTCTGATATTAGGAAGTGGCACACCAAAATGCCAGGGCTTTGGAGTCAGAAATTTATTTTTTATTTTTTAGACTGAGTCTCACTTTGTCACCCAGGCTGGAGTGCAGTGGTGCGATCTTGGCTCACTGCAACTTCTGCCTCCCAGGTTCCAGTGATTATCCTGCCTCAGCCTCCTGGGTAGCTGGGATTACAGGCATGTGCCACCATGTCCAGCGAATTTTTGTGGTTTTTTTTTTTTTTTTCCTTTTTTTTGAAACGGAGTTTCGCTCTTATTACCCAGGCTGGAGTGCAATGGCGCGATCTCGGCTCACCGCAACCTCCGCCTCCTGGGTTCAAGCAATGCTCCTGCCTTAGCCTCCGAGTAGCTGGGACTACAGGCACGCGCCACCATGCCCAGCTAATTTTTTGTATTTTTAGTAGAGACACGGTTTCACCATGTTAATCAGGCTGGTCTCGAACTACTGACCTTAGGTGATCTGCCCGCCTCAGCCTCCCAAAGGGCTGGGATTATAGGCATGAGTTTTTTTTGTTTTTGTTTTTGTTTTTGTTTTGTTTTGTTTTGTTTTTTTTTTTGAGACAGTCTCACTCTGTCGCCCAGGCTGGAGTGCAGTGGCCCGATCTCGGCTCACTGCAACCTCTGCCTCCCGGGTTCAAGCAATTCTCCTGCCTCAGCCTCCTGAGTAGCTGGAATTACAGGCACCCACCACCACGCCCAGCTAATTTTTGTATTTTTAATAGAGATGGGGTTTCACCATGTTGGCCAGGATGGTCTCGATTTCTTGACCTCGTGATCCGCCCACCTCGGCCTCCCAAAGTGCTGGGATTACAGGCGCGAGCCATTGCGCCCAGCCTCTCAATACTCTATTTTACAATAACCCTACTGCAGGTATCTCAGTGTGCACTCCTTAAATATTTGCAGAATTTAAGAGCCTCATAAGTGACCACGTGGGTATCGCCCTAGGGGCCTTAAGCCGCGCCACTTTTGGGGCCAGGATTGGCTGAAGCCTGTGTCACGTGACTTACAGTAGCCGGACCGCCCGTGAGTCTCGTGAGGTACTTCTGGTTCCAGCCTCCATGGTAGAGGCACTGCGCAGGCGTGGGGGATCTGCGCATGCGCAGAAGCACTCTGGGCGTGCTGCCGGCGGCGGTTGCGCGCGCAGAGCCGGTGGGCGGTTGGTGTGAGCGGGTCGAGGGCTGAGGCTGGAAGAGCCGGCGCCATGGTGGAGAAGGAGGAGGTTGGCGGCGGAATTAGCGAGGAAGAGGCGGCGCAGTATGACCGACAGATCCGCCTGTGGGGCCTTGAGGCCCAGAAACGGTCAGGGCCAGCGCGGCCTGAGGCGCAGAGGGTCTGGAGAGGGCGTCTAGTCTGAGGCGTTTGGGGCCCGGAGGGAGCGGGAAGGTGTGATTTGAAGGGAGGAGGCGGGAATTATGTGCAGCGGGATCGTCTCGCTCCTGAGAGGACTGGAGGAGTTGATTGGGGATGTTTCTGGAAGCTCTAGGAAGTGGGGAGGTCTCAGGATGTCGGGAGGTCAGTTCCGAAGGTGGGAGGCCTCTGAAGGGGGCGTTGGGGAGTCCTGAGGGAGCGGGAGGATTCAAACTCAGGAAATCCGAGGCCTGAAAGCGGTGATTGTGGGGTTTGGGTCGCGGGTAGGGGACTACAGGGGATAACGTGGAAAGGGTGAGTTGGGGGACCCTGTTCTGTGCTGGACTCGGGGGAGGCTGGACTGGCTAACACGACAGAAGGGAGCTTACATTGTTGTGGGTGCTTAGGGGCGGGCCAGTCTTAATGCGGCTTTTGAGGAATTTTGGAGCAAGTTATCTCAAAATGGGAATCTTTTTTTTTTTTTTTGGAGACGGAGTTTCGCTCTTGTTACCCAGGCTGGAGTGCAATGGCGCGATCTCGGCTCACCGCAACCTCCGCCTCCTGGGTTCAGGCAATTCTCCTGCCTCAGCCTCCTGAGTAGCTGGGACTACAGGCACGCGTCACCATGCCCAGCTAATTTTTTGTATTTTTAGTAGAGACGGGGTTTCACCATGTTGACCAGGATGGTCTCGATCTCTTGACCTCGTGATCCACCCGCCTCGGCCTCCCAAAGTGCTGGGATTACAGGCTTGAGCCACCGCGCCCGGCCAAAATGGGAATCTTGAGAGGTTCGGAGAGTCTGGAGGAGGACGGCGGCACCCGAAAATGTTGCTCTGTCTGTTACGGGGCTGTGCCTTCGTAAGACAGAAGACTTTTGGACATTGTGGAGTCGCTTGGGTATGCGTGTTTTTTTGTTTTTGTTTTTGAGAGGAAGTTTCGCTCTGTCGCCCAGACTGGAGTTCTGTGCGGTGATACCGGCTCACTGCAACCTCCGCCTTCCAGGTTCAAGCGATTCTTAGGCCTCAGCCTCCTGAGTAGCTGGGATTATGGGGCCCACCACCACGCCCGACTAATTTTTGTATTTTTAGTAGACACGGGGTTTCGCCATGTTAACCAGGCTGGTCTCGAACTCCTGACGTCAGGTGATCCACCCGCCTCGTCCTCCCGAAGTGCTGGGATCACAGGCGTGAGCCACTGCGCCTGGACAACTGTTTTGTTTTTGAGACAGTCTTGCCCTGTCGCCCAGGCTGGGGAGCAGTCGGGTGATCTTGGCTCGCTGCAGCCTCTGGCCTCAAAACACCCTTTCACCTCAGTGTCCTGAGTAGCTGGGATTACAGGCTCGCACCACCACGCCCGGTAATTTTTGTATTTTTCCTAGAGACGGGTTTTTGTCATGTTGGCCAGGCTGGTCTTGTCCTGACCTCAAATGATTTGCCTGCCTCGGCCTCCCAAAGTGCTGGGATTACAGACGTGAGCCACTGCTCCCGGCTTTTTTTTTCTCTCTCTGTTGCCCAGGCTGGAGTACAGTGGCACGATCACAACTCACTGTGGCCTCCACCTCCAGGGCTCAAGTGATCTCCCTTCAGCCTCACCAGTAGGTGGGACTACAGGCGGGCCCCACCACATCATCCAACTACTTTTTGTGTGTATATATATTTTTTGTAGAGTTTTGCCATGTTGCAGACTGGTCTTGAATTCCCAGGCTCAAGCTATCCTCCGCCTCAGGAGAGCCCTTCCCCAACTCCACACTCGGCCTCCCAAAATGCTGGGATTACAAGCATGAGCCACCATGCACTGATCCATATTTTTAGTTAGCGGGGACCCAGTGCCTCAGGCCTGTAATCCTAGCACTGGGAATCTGAGTCGAAGGGAGGGGAAGGGAATCTCTTGAGCCCAGGAGTTTGAGACCAGCCATGGTAACGTTTCGAAAAACCCAATCTCTACAAAAATACAAAAATTAGCCAGACATGGTGGCATCAGTGTGTGGTCCTAGCTAGTTGAGAAGCTGAGGTGGGAGTATCACCTGAGCCCTGGGGAGGCGGAGGTTGCAGTGAGCTGTGAGATCACCACTACACCCCTACCCGGCGACACAGTGAGGCCCTGTTTCCAAAAAAAAAAAATCCACAATCGTGTTTATATGTATATATATTGATCAGCCACTAAAGGATGGTGAAGTGGGAGGGCTCTTTTTTTTTTTTTTTTTTTTTTTTTTTTTTTTTGAGACGGGAGTTTCACTCTTGTTACCCAGGCTGGAGTGCAATGGCGCGATCTCGGCTCACCGCAACCTCCGCCCCCCAGGTTCAGGCAATTGTGCCTCAGCTTCCTGAGGAGCTGGGATTACAGGCACGCGCCACCACGCCCAGCTAATTTTTTTTGTCTTTTTAGTAGAGACGGGGTTTCACCATGTTGACCAGGATGGTCTCGATTTCTTGACCTCGTCCTCCCAAAGTGCTGGGATTACAGGCGTGAGTCACCGCACCCGGCCGGGAGGGCTCTTTTGATAGGTTGGCCAGGGAAGGGCTCTGAAGAGGTAACATTGAGCCTAAGACTTGGATGAAAGGAAAGAGCCCTGTGGTCATCTGGGAGAACTTTCCCAGCAAAGAGAACAGCAAGTGCAAATTCCCAGAGGCCCAGGCATGATTGTTAGGCAGTGTTGTTTAAAGTGGGACAAAGTTGGTGATGTTAAAACTAGAATGTAGTTAGGGAACTTTCAGAGGGATAGGGATGGTTTCTCTGAGCAGCAGTAAAGAATGGATGGGGGCCTCTGAGTGGGAGATGACCTAAGGGACAAGTCAAGGTCAGGGCATGAAATTTGTGGGAAGTGGGAGTTTATTCTGAGGGAGTGGAGCTGTACTGAATTTGGTGGAGAACATGAAAAGCATTCGTTGAGGGTTGTGGGAGGGAGGGAAGAGGTTATCTGTAATTTGTACTTTGTATTTTTAGACAATCTCAGAGAGTCTTAGAGAGTTTATTAAAGTGTTTTGTGTCCATTTTCAGCTGAGTCTTTTAGAAATTAAAAAAATTTAAGGGCCGGGCGCGGTGGCTCAAGCCTGTAATCCCAGCACTTTGGGAGGCCGAGGCGGGTGGATCACGAGGTCAAGAGATCGAGACCATCCTGGTCAACATGGTGAAACCCCGTCTCTACTAAAAATACAAAAAATTAGCCGGGCATGGTGGTGCGTGCCTGTAATCCCAGCTACTGAGGAGGCTGAGGCAGGAGAATTGCCTGAACCCAGGTGGCGGAGGTTGCGGTGAGCCGAGATCGCGCCATTGCATTCCAGCCTGGGTAACAAGAGTGAAACTCCGTCTCAAAAAAAAAAAAAAGAAATTAAAAAAATTTTTTTGTGTGGGTGCATAGTAAGTGGATATATTTTGGGGATACAGGCATACAATGGGTAATAATCACATCAGGGTAAATGGGGTATCCGTCACCTCAAGCACTTTTTCTTTGTGTTACAAACAATGCAATTATATTCGTAGTTTTTGGTTTTTAAGATGGAGTCTGACTCTGTCACCAGGCTGTGGTGCAATCTCACTTCATTGTAATCTCTGCTTCCTTGGTTCAAGTGATCTCAGCTCACTATAACGTCTGCCACCTGGGTTCAAGCGATTCTCCTGCCTCAGCCTCCCCAGTAGCTGGGACTACAGGCACATGCTTCCACATCCAGCTAATTTTTTTGTTTTTAGTGGAGATGGGGTTTCACCATGTTTAGGATGGTCTCGATCTCTTGACCTCGTGATCCACCTGCCTCCGCCTCCCAAAGTGCTGGGATTACAGGTGTGAGTCACCACATATGTCTTCTTTTTTTTTTTTTTTTTTTTTTTGTGCCCTACCCCCATCACCCAGCTTCTTTTAGTTATTTTGGAATGTACAACAAATTGTTGACTGTAGTCACCGTGTTGTACTATCAAATACCAGATCTTATTCATTGTATTTAATGTGTGTGTGTGTGTGTGTGTATATATGTGTGTGTATATATATATGTGTATGTATATATATATGTGTGTATATATATGTATATGTATATATATATATGTATATAAAGACGGGGTTTCACCATGTTGGCCAGGGTGGTCTTGAACTCCTGACCTCAGGTGATCTGCCCACCTTGGCCTCCCAAAGTGCTGGGATTACAGGCATGAGCCACCGTGCCTGGCCGTATTTCATTATATTTTTGAATCCATTAACCACCCCTCCTTCCCCTCCACCCCCTACTACCCCTCCTGGCCTCTGGTAACCATCAGTCTACTATCTGCATGAGTTCAATGTTGTAAATTTTTTTTTTTTTTTTTGAGATGGAGTCTTGCTCTGTCACCAGACTGAAGCCCAGTGGTGCAGTCTTGGGCTCACTGCAACTTCCACCACCTGGGTTGAAGCGATTCTTCCACCTCAGCCTCCCGAGTAGCTGGGACTACAGATGCGTGCCAAACGCCTGGCTAATTTTTGTATTTTTGGTAGAGACGGGGTTTCACCATGTTGGCCAGGATGATCTCGACCTCTTGACCTCGCGATCCACCTTCCTTGGCCTCCCAAAGTGCTGGGATTACAGGCATGAGCCACCACGCCCGGCCTCAATGTTGTAATTTGTTTAGCTCCCACAAATAAGTGAGAACCTGCAAAGTTTGTCTTTCACTGCCTTTTGCTTACCATAATAACCTCTGCCAGGTCCCTCCATGTTGTTGCAAATGACAGAATCTAATTTCTCTTTTTTTTTCTTTTTTTTTTTTTTGTAGACAGGGTCTCATTCTGTTGTCCAGACTGGAATGCAGTGATGCAGTCACCGCCAGCTCACTTCAGCCTTGATGTCTTGGGCTCAGGTGATCCTCCCACCTAGCGGTGACTACAACACATGCCACAAGCCCAACTCATTTTTTAGTAGAGGTGGGGTTTCACCATGCTGCCCAGGCTCCTCTCCAACTCCCAGGCTCAAGTAATCCTCCTGCCTCCCTGCAAAGTGCTGGGAGTATAGGCGTGAACCGCCATGCGCAGCCTTTGTACCGTAGTGTCTTTATCTATGTGTTGTTAGACACATGGTTTGCTTTGTTGTTGTTGTTTTTTTCCCCTGTAGACAGTCTCCTTCTGTCACCCAGGCTGGAGGGCAGTGGCAGGATCTCAGCTCAGTACAACCTCCGCCTCTCAGGTTCAAGCAATTCTCTTGCCTTAACCTCCTGAGTAGTTGGGATTATAGACACCTGCCACTATGCCTAGCTAATTTTTGTATTTTTAGAAGAGCTGGGGTTTGCTCTGTTGGCCAGGCTGGTCTCGAACTCCTGACCTCAGGTAATTGGCCCTCCTTGGCCTCTCAAAGTGTTTCGATTACAGGCGTGAACCTCCACACCCAGCCTGATTATTTTTTGGGGGGTGGGTATATACATAGCAGTGATATTGTATTTTCTTTCTTTCTTTTTTTTTTTTTTTTTAAAGACGGGGTTTCACCATCTTGGCCAGGCTGGTCTTGAACTCCTGACCTCGTGATCTGCCCTCCTCAGCCTCACAAAGTACTGGGATTACAGGTGTGAGCCACCTCCCCCAGCCCAATCTGGTTTGACATTTTAACAGACCTTCCTGAAAAGGGAGATGGTGGATTGTAGGGGGTGAGAATGGAAGAAGAAGGAGCAGGTTTAAGGCTGATATAGGTTTTTTTTTTTATGACAGGGTCTCAGTTTGTTCCCCAGGTTGAAGTGCAGTGGCTTGATCACAGCCTTGGCCTCCTGAGCTCAGGTGATCTTACCACCAAACTCCCCCACCCCTCCCAGAGTAGCTGGGACTACAGGTTTGCGCCACCACACCCAGCTAATTAAAAAAATTTTTTTTTGTACAGACGGAGTCTTACTTTGTTGCCCAGGCTGGTTTCGGATTTGTGGTGTCAAGTGATCCTCAGGCCTCGCCCTCCCAAATTGCTGGGATCACAGGTGTGACCCACTGTGTCGAGCCTGCTGTAGTTTTGTAGGAGAGAAATGATGGTCTCTCAGACTAGATTGGTGGATGTGGAAGTCAAGGGAAGTAGATGGATGATGGTGCTGTGAATGTGTATTATTTTTGTGCCCACTTGGGTGTATATATATTTTGAGACAGAGTTTGATGCGGTCTCAACTCACTGGAACCTCCGCTTCCCAGGTTCAAGCGATTTTCCTGCCTCAGCTTCCAAAGTAGCTGATATTACAAGTTCCTGTTACCATGCCCAGCTAATTTTTGTAATTTTAGTAGCGATGGGGTTTCACCATGTTGGCCAGGCTGGTCTTGAGCTCCTGAGCTCAGTTGATCTGTCTGCCGGGGATTTGTAGTCCCAGCACGTTGGGTGAGGTAGAGGCAGGAGGATTGCTTGAGCCCAGGAGTTGGAGATCAGCCTGAGTAACATAGTGAGACCCTGTGTCTACAAAAAAAACCCATAAATTAGCCAGGTGCAGTGGTGTGCACCTGTAGTCCCAGGACTCAGTAGGCTGAGGTGGGAGGATTGCTTGAACCTGGGAGGCTGAGCCTACAGTGAGCCCTGCACTTCAGTCTGTGTTCATAGAATGAGACCTTGTTTCAGTAAAACAAAACAAAGCATAAACGTGATATTCAGTGTTGATGACACTTGAGTAATGACTTTTATTTTATTTTTGAAATGGAGTCTTGCCCAGGATGGAGTATAGTGGCACAGTCTTGGCTCACTGAAACCTCTGCCTCTTGGGTTCAAGCAGTTCTCCTGCCTCAGCCTCCCAAGTGGCTGGGATTATAGGTCCCTGCCACCAAACACTACCAGCTAATTTTTTTTTTTTTTTTTTTTTGAGTTGGAATCTCGCTCTGTCCTCCAGCTGGCATGATCTCGGCTCACTGCAACCTCCACCTCCCAGGTTCAAGTGATTCTCCTTCCACAGTCTCCCAGGTAACTGGGATTACAGGAGCCTGCCACCACTACTGGCTTATTTTTGTGTTTTTAGTAGAGATGTGGTTTTGCCATGTTGGCCAGGTTGGTCTTGAACTCCTGGACTCAAGTGATCTGCCTACCTTGATCTCCCAAAGTGCTGGGATTACAGACATGAGCCACCACACCTGGCCATAATTTTTTTTGTATTTTTGGTAGAGACCAGGTTTCACCATGTTGGACAGGCTGGTCTCGAACTCCTGACTGCAGGTGATCCACCCGCCTGAGCCTCCTAAAGTGCTGGAGTTACAGGACAGGTGTGAGTCACCAGACCTGACTGAGTAATGAATTTAAAAAAACTGCAGTGTCTGTAGAGCTAAGTAGGAATGTAGGTCATGGAGAGGAGATTTATTGTCTGGGACTTTTTATATGTAGCTGTTGCTGGAGGAGTTCAGGGAGGGGGAGTGCTTGCTGATGTCGACTCAGCCGTGATAAAAAAGTCTTTATTGAGGAAATGGCATGGGAGTTGGGTTTTGAAGGGGGAAAGGCTTAGCTAGGCATTGAGAGAAAGAAACAGTACATTTTTCGAGGGTGGAATGTTGTGATTAAATTTTACTTAATTTATAATTAGTAGCAAACTTATTGGCTAGCAGAACCTGAATTTATGTAATTTATGTGAGGCTATTCTTATTACCAAATCCTTTTCAGTATGTATATTTGTTGATGAATTATTAATGAGTTTGGTTACATGATGCTGCCCAAGATTTTGATGGGTTGTTTCATAATGTACGACATAAAATCTATATTTCCTTTTTGAAATCTGAAAAATTGTGATTCTGAAATACTTCTGGTTCAAGAGATTTCAGGTAAGATACAGTGGACCTATTCTGCTTCCTATTGGCCTCAGACAAGTCTTGGCATGGCCTGATCTCTGATTGCCTTTTTTCAGCCTCATCTCTGTCACTTTACAGATATAAAAAGAAAATCAAGGCCGGTAGCGGCATCTCTTGCCTGTAATCCCAGCACTTTGGGAGGCTGAGGCGGGTGGATCACTTGAGGTCAGGAGTTAGAGACCAGCCTGGCCAACATGGTAAAATCCCATCACTACCAAAAATACAAAAATTAGCCAGGCTTGGTGACAGGCACCTATAATCCCAGCTATTCAGAAGGCTGAGACGGGAGAGGTGCTTGAACCTGGGAGGTGGAAGTTGCAGTGAGCTGAGTGAGATCATGCCACTGCACTCTGGCCTGGGCAACAGAGCAAGAGTCTGTCTCGGGAAAAAAAAAAAAAAGATAAATTCTTGTGTACATCCTTTTTTTGTGCCAACATGTATTTTGCTTGTGTGTTATACTTAACTAGTGCCTCTTCTCAGCACCTCTTTAGCTGTCATGCTCATATGAGCTACCATCATCCTCCCTCACCTTAACTGTGACATGTTCTCACTTCCATGGCTTTCCATCATCCTTAAAAGAAAATCCAGAATCCTTCTATTGCACGTAAGAGCCTTCATGATGTGGCCCCTGGTTCCAGCTTTTCAGCCTCTCTGTCATTACTGTCCCTATAACGTGCCAAGCACTCCTGCTTCAGGGCTTTTATATTTGCTGTTTTGTCTATCAGGAATGTTCAGCTTCCAAATATGTGTGTGTTTGTCCTTTATTTCATTTTGATGGCACCTCTTCAGAAAGGCTTATATGATTTTCCTGTCTCAAATAATGTCCTCCATCATCCTTGATCCTTGTCAAACTTGATTTTCATCACTTTTTCACATATTATGTGTCTGTTTTATATGTCTCCTACTCCTTCATGAGGGCAGGGACTATGTCTGATTGACTGCCTTATTTCCACACCATAGAAGGATGCCCGGCATAGTAGGTGCTCAATTAATATTTGTTGAATGAGTTGTTCTGTGCATTATGGATTGGAGCCTGTCTCTTAACTAAATTCATGGTGTGATGCCTCATTGCAGTTAGTGCAAACCAAAATGATTTCTGTATTGTTTTGTTCTTCTGTAATTTGGCAAGCTCACTGTTGTGTATCATCAGGTTAATGTTTGTCTTACAGGCTGCGGGCCTCCCGGGTGCTTCTTGTCGGCATGAAAGGACTCGGGGCTGAAATTGCCAAGAATCTCATCCTGGCAGGAGTGAAAGGACTGACCATGCTGGATCACGAACAGGTGCGCTGTTGTCAGCTCATTACTCTCCTCCTCTGGCTCCCATTTGCAGCATGAAGACTTGCAGATTTTGTGAGTTCCTGCTTGTGCCTTAAGGGCTGTGAAAGGAGGGCTAACGTTAAAGAACATTGCCTCTGGAGATTGAAGGTGCTATTGCTGGGTTTAAATTCCAGCTCCACCACATCTAGCTGGAGGAGCAGTGGAGACTCACATCACTTCCTTTAGCTTGCCTATCTGTAAAACCAAGGTAATAATATCTGCCTTGGTGGTGCTTGATTTCTCTGTCTCATATAGTGTCCTCTTCCATTTTATTTATTTTATTTTTCTATTTTGAGATGGAGTTTTAACTCTGTTGCCCAGGCTAGAGTGTAGTAATGCGATCTCAGCTCACTGCAACCTCTGCCTCCCAGGTTCAAGTGATCCTCCTGCCTCAGCCTCCCTAGTAGCTGAGATTACATTACTACTTCATCTGGTTATGAGAATCCAAAATGGAGGCCCGTCACAGAGGAGTCGAGAAGTGGTTTTCCAATTTGTGCCTAAAAATGACCTAACTGAAAATCCAGAGTGGTCTGGAGGCTTTGTGATGCCATAGCTTTCACCCCCAGTAATTCTCATTTAGGTCTGAGAAAAGTTCAGGTGTATGTACATTTAAAAGATGTTTTAGGGCCGGGCATAGTGGCTCACGCCTGTAATCCTAATACTTTGGGGAGGCTGAGGCAGACAGATCTCATCTGAGGTCTGGAGTTTGAGACTAGCCTGGCCAACATGCGGAAACCCTGTCTCTACTAAAATATATGACAACTAGGCAGGCATGTTGGTGTGTGCCTGTAATCCCAGCTAGTCAGGAGGCTGAGGCACGAGAATCACTTAAACCTGGGAAGCGGAGATTGCAGTGATTTGAGATAGCACCACTGCACTCCAGCCTGGGCAACAGAGTGAGACTCCACCCCTCCAAAAAAAAAAAAAAAAAAAAAAGGTGTTTCAGGAGATTATGATTTAAATGCTCTACTGACATTACTTTGGAAAACACTGGATCATGGAGAATGTATGCAGACTCCTTCACATAGTGCTTGAACCTAACAAGTATCCAGTAATTAGGAATAATGATCTGACATAATGCTGTTTGTTTATTTTTTTATTTTTATTTTTATTTTTATTTTCTTCGAGACAGAGTCTTGCTGTGACACCTAGGCTGGAGTGCAGTGGCACGAGCTCAGCTTACTGCAACCTCTGCTTCCAGGGTTAAAGTGATTCTCCTGCCTCAGCCTCCCAAGTAGCTGGGATTACAGGCATGCACCAGCACACCCGGCTAATTTTTGTATTTCTTTTTTTTTTTTTTTTTTTTTTTTTTTGAGACGGAGTTTCGCTCTTGTTACCCAGGCTGGAGTGCAATGGCGCGATCTCGGCTCACCGCAACCTCCGCCTCCTGGGTTCAGGCAATTCTCCTGCCTCAGCCTCCTGAGTAGCTGGGATTACAGGCACGTGCCACCATGCCCAGCTAATTTTTTGTATTTTTAGTAGAGATGGGGTTTCACCATGTTGACCAGGATGGTCTCGATCTCTTGAGCTCGTGATCCACCCGCCTCGGCCTCCCAAAGTGCTGGGATTACAGGCTTGAACCACCGCGCCCGGCCCTAATTTTTGTATTTCTAATAGAGATGGGGTTTCATCATATTGGCTGGGCTGGTCTTGAACTCCTGACCTCAAATGATCCGCCCGCCTCGGCCTCCCGAAGTGCTGGGATTATTGGTATGAGGCACTGCGCCCGGCCGATGATAATGCTGTTTGATTAATACTATAATGGGTAGTGCTCAACTCCAATGTAGCTTTCTCTGACCAGGCTCCTCTTCAAGGTGAAAATATGGGCTTCTCTCTCTACATTCCCATGCCTCAGTGACATTTTATTTATTTCATTTATTTTATTTTGAGATGGAGTCTTACTCTGTCACCTAGGCTGGAGTGCAGTGACACTATCTCAGCTCTCTATAACATCTGCCTCCCGAGTTCAAGTGATCATCCTGCCTCAGCCTGCCTAGTAGCTGGGACTACATTACTACTTCATCTGGTTGTAAGAATCCAACACTGGAGGCCAATCAAAGAACAGTGTGAATTTGACACCACAGGTGTGAGCTACTGCACCCATCTAAGAGCATATTAGTGTACATTCAACAAGCATCTGAGAGTACCTACTGGGTGCTCTCGAGTTGTTTTTTTATTTTATTTTTTTTTTTTTTTTTTTCCTTCCCTCCTGGTCACCTTTTTTTTTTTTCTCTCCCAGAAACCAGAGTAGGCTACCTGACTCAGGTTGTGGTAGCGAGACATGAAAGATTTCCAGGAGTCCTGATCTGAGCTAAGTCTTAAAGAATAAGTAGGGTTTTTCGAGGTAAGGGCCTGTGTTTTAGGCAGGGAACATACCAGTGTCACAAAGGCACCCAGCAGTGTGGTTGAAGTGGAAGATAACAAGCAGTTTGGTGTTTTTAGAGTGTGAGACCCAAAATGGTGGGTAGGGACAGGTTGCAGGTGAGGTCCAAGGCAGGGGGGCCTCCTAAGAAGCCCCACTGTAAGCTTTTACTCAATCCTTAGGGTGGTGCAGATTGTCTGAATTCCTATCCTTTCAAATGACAGGAAGGGTGACATGGTCAGCATTGGGCTTTATGTGTAGATCAGTAATTACTATATAAACTGTGGTTGGCACAAAATACAGGGCAGAAGACCACTTAGTAGAAGACAGTTTTTAATAATTAAGGTGAGAGGTGATTTAGATGGTAGAATTGGGAGGTTTGTGTATGGGAGCTTAAGGAAAGCCAGGAATAACCAGAGCAGCTGACACTGAAGGTGCTAGGCACTGTTCTCAAAGCTGCAATTGTATTATCTGATTGAGTCCTCATAACATATCTGAGATCGAGGACCCACTATCATCCCTGCTTTACAGATAGGAAAACTTAGTAAAAGGAAGAAAAGTACTGGCCCATCCAAGGCGCCAGTAGTTAATGTTACAGCCAGGACCCAGGCGTCTGACTCCTATGTTCTCAGCCACCTCACTATGGACTACTCTCATGGAGAGAGCAAGGATATAAAGACCGGACTTCTGACTTGAGTGACTGGTTGGGTGACTGGTGGACTCCAGAGATAGCACACACAAAGGCGGACATGTAGGGCCTATGAATATCTGAGAGGAAATGGCGGGTGGGCAGTGCAGTAGAGAATACTCAGGTAGATCAGGAAGAAATCTGCACCAGAAACGGTGATTTGAAAAATAAGAGCAGATTTTGATAGAAACTGAAACAGGCACTGAGAAGGTTTATGAAGCTATACAGAGTGAAAAGATGAGTGGTTCTGAGATGGAATCTTGGGGACGGCCGTAACTAAGAGGGCCCAAATTGAGACTAGAATGTGTAGCAAGGGAGGAGAGCATAGCAACGAAGGGGTGATCTGTGGACTGATAGTAATAATAATTCACATTGAGGCCAGGCGTGGTGGCCTATAATCCTAGCACTTGAGGAGGCCAAGGCGGGCAGATCATGAGGTCAGGAGATAGAGACCGACATGGTAAAACCCTGTATCTACTAAAAATACAAAAATTAGCTTGGTGTGGTGGTATGTGCCT